TCTCAATACTCTCAGCTCCCTTGTGGTCGGACTGCATTTTGACTGTCTCGAGGCCAAGTGACTTGCTGCCCATGATGAGTGATGAGAAGAACCTTGGTGTGTCCCAAAAATTGGTGTCACCCTCAAGGAGCACAAGTAGCTGCTCTTCCAAGCAAGGAAGTCGACAGGTAAAGTTTAGCTCATGCAAATTTTAATTATGCAAATTTAAGCCATCAGGTTTGCTGGCTAAAATGCACACAGTTACTTGGGAACTCCTACTTCTCAGTTTAAGAGCATTTGCTTTTGGTTATATCTTGACTGTATGAGGAGAGTAAATTCTGTATAATTTTAAGAATGTAGCTTGAGTGCCTACCAGGTAGGAAGCACTGCATTTGGTTCTTCGTATAATTTTATTTAATTCTTGCAGTTGCCCCCCAGTGTAGATATTAACATCTACATTTTTTCCACGAGGAAGCTGACTCAGACTGACCAGGTTACTTGCCCAAGAACACACAGCTAGTAAGTAGCAGAGCAAGAACTAAAGCTTAGCCTGTTTGGCTTCAGAGCCCACACTTTCCTTTACATCCTGCTAACCAAAACAAAAAACCAGTCAATCATTTTTTCCAGTGATTATAATATCCATCCTGACTTCCTTCCCTTTATCAAACCTTTATGGCAGCTTGTAACCACAGATTGCCCTGTTAATAGCTTGGAGTCTCACCTGGTTTTATCTGTAATGGATGAGGGAAACTAATCTATAGAAAAATGATTTAAAGCAATTAAGTAGGAGGGAGAAAGAACTGAAACAAAGAATTGAATAATTAACTCCTAAATAACCGTTGGTTAATTATATATTGTTTCTTGGTTTCCTTTCTAATAAATCTTTGTTGGCAGCATTTGCTGGTTTTAGATCAGTGGCAGTAAATACGCATTAATCATTATAATTCTTCCTCCAGCAGTTAGGTGGAAAGAGAATGAGCTGTCAGAAGGCTGAATTTATGACCAAAGCGGTTTCTGAACTGAGCCTTTTCAGCACCTGCTGGCTCTATTGGCATTTCCTTTTCGTCATGGGAAGTGCTGGCCTTGGGAAGCACATGGGAAGAGTCTTTGGTTCCAGAATTGGAAGCAACAATTAAGCAACTCCCACCTCAGTCACTTCCACACATTTATGACACATCATCAGGGGTCTCTCCATCTGAGCATTGCCTGGGATAAGGAGCTTTGCCGCTCATGAATCTGTGATTCCAGGAAAATTAGATTTTGCTACAGGCCTGACATTTGGGAAGCCCTCCAGCATCTCCCCTGAGGGATTAAGGAGGAGAATTTTGTCAGCACTGTCATCAGTTCCTTCTGGGATTAAAAAAAAGAGAAGACTAAAATTAGTCATTAGCCAATGCATCATGGCTCCCCGGGTTCTGTTTTCATGAGGGTCACTATGCTTGTCTTCTTTGTCAGGTTTCTACAGGAGTATTTTTCTCCCTAAGCCAAAATTCTGGTTGGGATTAAACAGCATGTGGTATATTTCCTACCCACACCATCTTTCTTACACCCAGGGATTGTTATGTCCTTCTTTGATAAAGGGGGAGAACATGATTCATTTAAATAGCAAGTGATGATTACACCATAGGAATTGGAACAGTACAATGAAATTCTCAGATCAAATACTACAGAAACTTTTTTTAGGGTGTTATTTGGAATCAATTTGGTTTTCACAAAGCTTTTTTGGAGGTTATATCATAAAGGGTAAGCAGAAGGTGCTTGGTCCCTTAACTTATTTCTGACTTAGAATGCTTGGTCAATCAGTCACTCATTCATCAAATGGTCATTTTTTTATATTTAGGGTCTCCCACTTTAATATGCATATAACATGGCTTTATAAATGGAAACACTTTTTCCTCTGTGGCAGACAGAGAAGGTGGAGAATTTAATAAGTGTATTTCAAGTTCAGCCTGAAGTTACTTAAAAAGTCCACGTTTGATTTCTAGAGGTCGTTTTCTTGGTCCATCTGCTTTCTCAACCTTCTGTCAAAGAAAGGTGTTCTGTGCCAGGGTATACTTAGAGATTCCATCCACGTGGCCCACCTTGACTGCCCATACCCCTTCTGCCTTTGCAAACTGGCCCAGGATTATGCTTCAGTCTTTAAAGTGCTGCAGAGGCGCAGGAACCTTTGAAGCTCTCCTCATTTACGGCACACAGCCATCTCTGATGGTCTGTTGGCTGCTAAATATCAGGATGAAGCTGTGTTTCCAGTCACGTCACTGAAGAGTAAAAGTTAAATACTTAAAACTTCAAGATTTACATAGTAAGCAATTTAATTAGAGGAATATGAAAATATAACTGAAGATAATCTGTGCAAATACCTAGTTGTATTTCGAACACCAGTTTAAAGTCATTTTGAAATTGATCTCTTCATTTCATTTGGAGGGAATATATCTGATGTTGATTTTATTGGTCATTTTTCTTAGTGCTGGCTTTTCTCATGTGCTCTGGAATTTCGGCTCAGAGCTTCATCTAGAGTTGAACATACCCGTGACCCCATCATAGTTAACATACCTGTGACCCCCTCATAGTTATCTTTTTGTGCGTGTGTGGTAAGAAAATTTAAGATTATAGCCAATTTCAAGTATATAATGCAGTTGTATTAAGTGCAGTCACCATGCTGTTACATTAGATCTCCAGAACTTATCAGTCCCTGGTAACTATCATTCTACCCTCTGTTTCTATAAGTTTGACTTTACCACATGTAAGTGAAATCATGCAGTATTTTTCTTTCTGGACTTGGTTTATTTCACTTAGCATAATGTCCTCCAGGTTCATCCATGTGATTGCAAATGACAATCTTTGTTTCTTTTTTAAGGCTGAATAGTAGTTCACTGCATAAGTTTATGTACCACATTTTTCTTTGGAAATATTTCATCTTGTTTTTTATCACACAGACACAGAAGAGCCCTCTGTGTTTATAACTTTGCATATTTTTGCCATATTTGGAATGAGGGTGGCATTTTGTATATTTTTGCTATATTTGGTATGAGAGTGGCAATAGGAAAGGGACACTAAATGCATGAACTTGAAATGCCATCTTAGCTGGAATACATAGTTTTCTTAAGTCCTTTTTACTTAAGTTCTTATCCAATATTGCCAAGTGACCTTGAGAGTCTCTGTATTCCAGCCACACTGGCTTTCTTTCACTTTCTGGAACTGAATTTTCTTTTGTCGTTGTTTCTTGAACTGAACTTAAATTTGAACCTGCTCTTCCTATCTCAGGCCTGTTCATATAAAATCTCAAGGAGCTATGCATGTATGTATAGATACTCCCCTGCCTACATATCTTTGTTGAAAGAGCTTGCATCCTTGAAGGAGAAAATGATTGAGACCTAGGTGCTCATCACAATCTGTGTTTTCATTTTCACATCTGACCTAAGACAAAATGTACAACTTAGTGCCATGAAAACCCTAGGAGGAGGGCTCTGTCATCTTTTAACTTAAATACTGGGGCTCCTGAGATTTTAAAAACATACGCCTCACTTTGCCAGTATGAAAACAACCTGTCTATAAAATCTCATCAAGATAAATTGAGGAGAAAGTATGCATAGTGATTAGAACATTAATTCTCCAATCTTGGGTCCACCCATTAATTGGTTCTATGACCTTAAACTCTTAAAGCCTCAATTTTTTCATCAACAAAATTGAAATAATAATAGTTCTTTTCTCGCAGCGTTGTGGTGAGGATTAAAAATAAAGCACTTATTCCAGGGTCAGACTCAGGATAGGTGTGGAGTAAATATAAACATATGTTTTTATCATTATAGTTAACATTAATTCCACCTTCATTCTTATTTGTGAATGTTCTGAATGTGCATAGTGAATAGTTCTAGCTTTTTTTCTCCCAGGAACTTTTACAGTATCATACATGTACCCACTCATACCTTTTTAGTGTTGTGCAAAAGCCCACTACAATACACACTGTACATGTGAATATATACTTTTAAAATAAAAATTACCTTACTCTACACATTAACAAAATGCTTTTTTAAAGAATACAATCGAATGTTTAATAACTGAGCTACATTTGACATCTTTAGGCATAACCTATACCTTAAACAAGTGAAAATAGTTGATGAATTCTTACCCCATTCTGCTAGGCCTTGCCCTTGCTTGGGTGGTAATTGGTTTTCCCCTCTCGCCCCCTGCCAGCATCTGTATATTGGTATTAGCTGCACAGAGCATTGTGTTAAGAAGGACTTTGCAGCTGAGTCTGCATTCAGGGGAAAGATTGCCCTGTTTTTTGCTGTGACTTGTGGGCATAAGGCAGGGAGAGCACAGCATGGGCACTGTGTTTGTCACCCCTTTGTGACAGAGAGTTGTTGAAATCAATAGCTCTCTGTTGCAGTTTTTATATTATGTTATTGGATGAACTACAGGCAAGCATAAGTTGTCTCAGTTCTCCATTCATAAAATGGAGGAAAAACTCATCTTCTGCTTTTCCCTGTGGAATGTGGTGAGAGAAAATTGAGAATTTTAAAAGACATTAAAAGTCTTTGGAGAAAAGTCCTCTGTAAATTTAAGAAACTGGTATAATTACAATGAGCTGCCTCTACTTTGGCCAGTTCTGGAAGCAGAAGACACTTGGCCTTGTTTCAAGAAAGGTGACACTCTGCAGAATTAGTTCTTTTTGGAGTAGATCACTTTTCAGATACTTGCCTTTACCATAGAGGAATCTACTTTTCTTGTAGGAACTAAAGGGACCCTGCTTATTAAAAAAAAAAAAAAAAAAAGGCTATTGGTCCCTCCTGACTGTCTTAATCATACCATGTTATTTGTAGAGTTATAAGTGGACCTTCAATGTTCTTCCTTATCCCAGGTTTTGGCTGAGCTATTCCTTTAGCTAGAATGATCCATATGAAACCCTACTGCCCATTTCAATTATGTCATTTCCTTTGCAATAATTTTTTTTTTCTGCTTTAAGCTTTTAAAATGATTTTTATAAAAATAAGATTTTACTCATTGTAGATCATTTGCAAAGTAAATGTGAATTGCTATCCTTTAATTAATTTGTTTTTAAATGGCTGCTGACAGGTCAAATAAAATGCCTGAAAATGACGATGGGTTGTGGAGGTCATTGTCATACAGTTTCCTTGCAGTCTTGATGGTGAAATGCTGATCAGAATTGATTGATGAGAGACTAGGAACAGAGAATAGAATTGTCCAGTTCTACCAGATCCCCCGACAGGATTTGAGAGAGGCCTTCACAAATGTTCTGGTTTGGAACCTTGAGCTTGGCTAATCCCATCCTTAACACTGCCATCATCTCCCTTCTTGTGGTAAACTCTTTCAGTTGCTTCATTGGTTAAAAAAGTATATGGTTCTTTAAATTTATTGAACTCCAGCAACAAATGTCCTTCTATTGGGGCAGGGGAGAATGTATGGCCAGCTATACATGGAGAGCATGTGTGAGCAAAAAGCCCACAGATTCTTAAGCTCCCCCATTCCAGTGACAGTTGTGAGGATCTATAATAAAATGAAGAAGGGCTTCCCCATTGAGTTTATTCTGCCAAATGATGGTATCCATAAATGTTCGTCTATACCTGTGGTCTGTGAAGGAACCACTCTGTGAAAGTCTGGAACAAAAGTAGACAGTGGCTGCAGAAACTGAGACATGTTCTCACTGACTTTGCTTTTTGCCTGCTGAATAACCTTACCATATTATTTAACACATTCTGAGTCTAAGCTTTTTAGCTGTGAAATTCGGATAATTTTGCTTACTTTTGAGAACTAAATGAAACAGTAAATAAGCACCTAGACTAGCATATGGGAAACATTCAGTAAGTGTAGATTAAATTAATGAATGAATGAGCATGCAATTGCTCAGAAGAAAGATTACCATTCACAAAGTTTTGTAGCTACATTAAGTGGGTTAAGGAATATCTCAGTGGGAGGGAGAATTGCTATTTTAAAATGTGTAAAATATGAGTAATTGCAATTTGCTCTTGTCTTTTTTCCACTGCCCCCTTACATTTGCTTCCTAGAACTTTCAAAGTAATACATTTCAGAGGCCAGATTAGCTCAATAAAGATGGTTGAATATGTTTTGTCTTTATCAAAAGAGTCCTATAGCCTTGAGTTTTATTTCTTCAATCAGTATCTATTGAGAGCCTGTTATTTAAAGGCCCTGAGCAGAGATACACAAAGCTATGAAGGACAGGACAGCTGAACAGTTCATCATAAATAAGAAATAAATTCTGATTGGAAAGACTATGGGTTGTAAAGAGAGCACAATTTCTATTCATTTTTTTTTAAATGTATTGTTAGCATTTAGCATAAAAGCTAGAAATAGAGAGTAAATCCTGTCAAAATAATTGACAAGTGCTTCACTCATGATTGCGGGGGTTTTGAAATGGAGAGATCTATTGCTAGGTAAGTTTCTATACAATTATGCAGTTCACTCTTGTCACCCTGCTGTTTCTGGGCTAATCTACAGTGGCTTGAACTCTCCCAGGGTCACCTGATGAGAGCTTATTTATGCAGGGTATTAGATTATGCTGCACTCCAGAGAGCCCAGCCTGGCTGAGCTCAGGGCCAGAACTCATAAAACAGGTGAGTGGAATGGAGAAGAATTTGCCAAGAAGAGAAAAGTGAATTAACACTTTAATGTCCGGGTGTTTATAATTTTAGCTGTCTGGCTTTTGAAAATGCGTAGTCCCATTTCTTTCTTGGCTTTTTGTTTAGTTGGTTGGTTGGTTTTTCAGTTTTTTGAGACAGAGTCTCACTCTGTCGCCCAGACTGGAGTGCAGTGGCACGATTTCGGCTTACTGCAAACTCCACCTCCTAGGTTCAAGTGATTCTCCTGCCTCATCAGGCTCCTGAGTAACTGAGGTTTTAGGTGCTTGCCTGTAGTGCCACTACACCCTCAGGTGATCCACCCGCTTCAGCCTCCTAAAGTGCTGGGATTACAGATGTGAGCCACCGCGCCTGGCCCCATGTATTTCTTTTAATTCATAATGTCTTTAGAGATACTAAGATTTATTATCTCCACATTGATTTCAGTATTCAGTATAGGCTGAATAAACACCACAAGAAAGTCCAGCCAAGGAGGAGGGACCTTGGAGACATCATGATTGTCTCACATTGTTCTATGATGATCATAGAAGAGGAGAGGCAGCAAGTGTGAACTCTGGAGCCAGATGGCCTGTGTTTGAATCATGGGCTGTTTATAAGCTGTTTGATCTTGGACCAGTTAATACCCTCTCTGTGCCGTGTTTTCTTATGAGGTGTAAATTGCTTAGTTTGGAAGAGATCCTATAGTAGGAAGTGCTATGTAAGTATCTGACAAATAAACATTCACCTTTTGTGAGCAGGGGAGTCTCAGGAGCCCTTAAGCAATGTCACGGCTGCTTCCCTGCATCATCTTTCTGGCTGGGAGGGGTGGCACAGTGTAGAGGCAGGCAGCTTGGCTGTGTCTAGGCTGCTTTCAGAGGAAGACTCAGCACGGGATGCTCAAAGTTAAAACTCTCCGATATCATCTTCACAGCTCATAATTCCCGTTCATGCTACCCTTCGGAGTTTCATCACAACTCAGCGAGGTCTGTGATGTTTCCCCCACTGTGGAAAGGAAATAAGGCCCAGAGATATTCACTGATTTGTTTGGAATCCCATGGCTAATAAGTGGTAGGGGACCAGGCAACCAACTATGTGGAGAGTACTGGCTTTCTTTAGATGCTAGAAGCCTTCTTCAGAAATTAATTTAAGTACCATTTGGCTTATGTACAAATGGTTGTTATTTAAACAAGCCTCCATCAGCTCACGGTTCTATGAATGGAGGGCCAAGAAGAATGTGGATGATTGAAGCAGCCTTAGGATCCCTGTGTTCCTGGTGCTGTTTTTTTTTTTCCCCTGGTGGACCCCACTGAGAAAAATAATTAATTACATATTTCTTATAGTTTTCTAGATTCTCTTTTTCTGGGCCTTTTACTTCTCATGTTTACTGCTGACCTTTTAGCCACCCCTATGGTTATGATATGCCTTTAAAAGCAGGAAGGCTGAAGAAATAAGACAAAATTCTCAATATGTATCCACTCTGAGTAAGTCTTAAAAGAAAGAAACAAACATTTGATATCAGAAGAGGTTAAAGTATCAGCTCGAATGACATATTTGAGTTGTCAAGACTTCTTCGTTCCTCTTCATGTTTGCAGATGACAGACTGTCAGCTGCATTTCCACACTCTGAGGATCAGGAGAAACTGAACTCTTAAAACACTACCAGAAAGTTGCTGAACTGTCTGTATTGTTCTGCAATTCTGGAATAATAATCACTGCAAATGTATTTGGGTGAGTTTTAGAAATATTACTTTGGTAAAAACTACGTGGGATGCTTTAAGAAAATAAACATATTTATTCATGGTTGGCAGTGGGCACAGTTTAAGATGCAGGAAGGCAGAACCCTGGCCCAGATGCTTCAGTTGAGAGCACAGGGTAGCAGCTGTGCAAGGTAATAGAATGCTCTCAAGAAGCTGTTGTTGCAAATGTGAGCTGAACTGACCGATTCAACAGTTCTTTCCTGGAAGGAAAGTCTACTTCAGTAATTTGATAATATTAAAATACTAAAGGTCCAGAAGTAACAGTGTCAGAAGTAGGACAGAGGCACAACAGAAGACTTTTCTAGTGTCATCTGACATTTGTCTAAAACCTACACCCTGACCCTACTGTCGAGTCCAGCTGTGTTTCCTGCTGCATCTGTACACAAGCCCACATTACCACCTAGATAAGCTCCTCTCTGTTCCTACTCCAGATCAATCACATTCCTGGCACATCTTGGCCCAGTGGTCCCTGGTGCCCTGTGTAGTGAGCTGAATCATCAAAAGACATGTTCACTTCCTACTTAATTAAACTAAAAAGTTTCTGCACAGCAAAAGAAATAATAAACAGAGTGAACAGACAATCTGCAAAATGGGAGGAAATATTTGCCAACTCTGCATCCAACTGGGGACTGATATCCAGAATATACAAGGAACTCAAACAGCTCAACAGCAGCAACAACAAACAAATAATCTCATTAAAGAACAAGCAAAGGACATATTCATGTCATAATTTTTCAAAAGAAGACATACAAGTGGCCAACAGGTATATGAAAAAATGTTCAACGTAATTAATCATCAGAAATGCAAATGAAAACCACAGTGAGATACTATCTTATGTCAGTCAGAATGACTGTTCATACAAAGACAAAGAACAACATGTCAGTGAGGATGCAGAAGAAAGGGAGCTTTTGCACACAGTCAATGGGAGTGTAAATTAGTACAGCCTCATCAGAAAACAGTATGGAGATTTCTCAAAGAACTAAAAGAACTACCATATGATCAACTACTAGGGAGCTAACCAAAGGAAAAGAAATAAATATATCTAAAATGTACCTGCACTCATATGTTTATTGCAGCAGTATTCACAATATCACAGATATAAAATCAACCTGTTTCCATCAACAATTGAATGGATGAGGAAAATATGATATATACACACAATGGAATTACTCTTCAGCCATCAAAAAGAGTGAAATCATGTATTTTTCAGCAGCATGGATGGAACTGGACCAGGTCATTATCTTAAGTGAAACAAGCCAGGCATAGAAAGACAAATATCACATATTCTCACTCATAAGTCAGTGGTAAAAAATGTGTTCATCTGGACATAGAGAGTGGAAAGATCTAGATAATGGAGACTCAGAGGGCGAGTGTGAGGGAGGAAGGAGGAGGATGAGGATGAGAAATTATATAATGGATACAATATACATAGTGATGGGTACCCTAAAAGCCCTCACTTGACTACTATGCAAACTATGTATTAAGAAAATTGCACATGTACCCTATAAATATATACTTTTTTTTTTTAAAAAAAGAAAAAGATGTGTCCATATCCCAGTCTTAGAACCTGTGAATGTTACCACATTTGGAGGAAGGACCTTTGTAGATGTAATTAATTTAAGGATTTGAGATAAGGAGGTATCTGAGATTATCCAGGTGGGCCCTAAATTCACTGACAAATGTCCTTATAAGAAACACGTGGGGGAGAAAACAGACATAGAGGAAAAGGTGATGTGGTGGTGGAGGCAGAGATTGGAGTGTTGCAGCTACAAGCGAAGGCATGCCATGGAATGCTGGCAGCCACCAGAAACTGGGAGAGGCAAGGAATGAATCCTCTTGAGGTCCCTCAGAGGGAACGTGGATCTGCCAACACTTTGATTTTGGACCTCTGGCCTCCAGAACTGCTAGAGAATAAATACCTGTTTATTTAAGCCACCAAAGTTTGTGACTGTTCATCAAGGTGGCCTCAAGAATCTAAGGCACCCTGCTTCTTACTGTGTGTCATTTTTTTCTGGGTGTCCCAGCTCAGGTGGGTCTAGGCCTTGGAGACTATGCCTGTCAGAGCCCCTGTAGTGGGTTTGTGTGAATCTCCCATTTGACATTTACAAGTTTTCAACCTTGTGGTATCTCTTTTATTAACATTTGTAATGTATGTTAGCTTCTTGAAAGCCAGCACTTGATTTTACATCTTTGCATTTCTGGTTCCTAAGAATGAGCTTTGGACCTTTGAGTAGGGACCACCTGTTAAAGAGAACTGTGAGATTCTGCTTGGGATCTCCAGACTCAGTCCGCAGATGGGTTCTACCTCTTAATAGTTTGTGATCTTGCCCAAACTGATTTGGAGCTTCAATTTTCTCATCTGTAAAATGAGGATAATAATAGTTTCATTATAGAATCACTGCAAGGCACATCATTAAAAAAATAGTAGTCGTCACTTTAACTATAATCACTACCACAATAGCAACCATAAAAACCCCATCTCCACCCTAGGGGGCTGCATGGTCAGAGAGGAATGACATTTATCAGCTGGGTGTTTTCATATTTAACGGTAGCCTAAGAGACCCTGCTTAAGAACAGAGCATTAGGAGGAGAGAAAAATGCATAGAAGATGCTGTTTGTGGCTTTAAGGAGCTTGATACAATTAGGGGAATATTTAACAAATATTAATGACTTCCAAATATATCTAAGGGGCCTAAAAACATGCCAAATAATTGTAGCCATAAATGCTGAGTGAGTGATCAACAGTGTGGAAATTGTCATATGTGCATTCAAATGTTTTTATTAATGCTGTGTTAATTATAACTCTATCTGTGGTCAATACAGTTGGAAAGCGTTTTTCTCTTCTTTAGAAACTCAGGATAGGAATGACCTCAGGTGGAGCCACTGACAGAGCTGGCAGTCCATAGGTTTTTGTCTCCCCGTTATCACTGTCAGCTGCTGGCAATGGCTGCTTTTCCTTCCCTTTCTCAGGGGTTCACCACAAAGACTGCTTGAATATTCTCCCATTATCTAAGTCACGAAGACACCAGTGTTTTTGGTCTGTGGCTAAGTCGAGTAATAAGACTTGAAACATTCTGGGGTCCGAATCATCTGGATATTCACTTCCTGAGCCCTGGCATGAGGTTGTAGAGCTACATGCCTGTGTGAAGGGAAAGATGGGATGGTGACGGTGGTGGGTGGTGACTGCTACTCCCACATAGCCTCAGAATCCAAGTGGGTGCTTCACTGCTCAGTCTCCTTT